AAAAGCGTTGACAACTTCCTCAACTCGGTGGCGGAGTACCTCAATGGATGGAAAGCTGATTTTGTCTTTAGTCCGATGTGAATATGGTAAATAGGCTTGATCCATCACGTCCATTACTACCATGTACCACTTGTGTGGAAGTTGTTCGAAGCCACGCAAACGCGGTGCCACACTCAGGCGGCCTTTGTTTGGAATCACCTCAGAACGAATATTGATTCCAGATGGGCTAAAGAGGACACGATCTGTGAGCCTTTGCTCATCATCCGTCATTGCTTTGAGCCCATAGACAGCTCGGGTATTCTAAAGTTATGGAAAAAAATTTTTTCGCACATGAGAAAATAACGATTTCTAATTCTCAAAGTAAATGTGAACATTTCTTACCATTAGGCTTGCATAAAGTAATAGGATTTGAGATATTTATATATTTTTTCAAACGTTAGTGGATTGATATTCTGCATGACCTTGACAGTATATGTCCCTTTCTTTCGATGTTGCGGTTGATCTTCGGCATCAATAAGTTCGGCATCAATAAGTTCGGCATCAATAAGTTCGGCGTTCATGCTTTATATGTGCAGAGAATTTTTCGTATATCCTGTCCATTGCGAATGCTACTAAACCGGGATGACAACTCGTGGTCTTGGAAATATACATACGAAGGTTGTCCTTGTCAGGTGCTGATAATGATTTTAGTTTTTGCTCACAGAACCGTTCAAAATAATCTGTAAACTCCGACCGCATAAACCGCATATTTTCCAACCCCCACGTATTGTGCTCGCTCAGTTGAAACGGTGACACATTCGACACATTCGACACATTGCCATCATGCGCACCACAATACCCATATGATGCAAAGGCCACTATACGGAGCTTACTATATTGTTGAACGTCCTTAAACACGTCCCAGAATTCATTTCCACCATGAAGTGGTACAGAATCTTTCTTGTCAGGTTTATATAGTTTCTGAACTTCATCTACGATTAAGATGGTGTCAGTACATGAAGATTCAAAGACAAATTGGCGCCAACCGGTGTTCCCCATAAGCCATCGAAACCGATCTGAAAAGGTCCATTCTGGATTGTCGTCCTCCATCCACAACAGAGATATACGAAAAACTCTCGTTCCAGTGTGTTCTTCCAACAGATGCTTCTCAAGAAGTTGTGCAAGAGATGTTTTACCCGCCATTGGTGGGGACCGTATTAAAAGAACACGCATGTTGTTTAGACGCTCTAACAACTTTTTTATCGTCGGAATTCTCTTACAAATCGTGGGATCGAATAGGTTTACGCCCTCATAACCATAACCTTGCTCATCTCCTTGAAACATTGTTCCACCCATCCCCCCTAAATTGACGAATGAAAACATAAGGCAATATAAATATCGACACCGTAAACAGCGCCAAGCGCTCGTTACTAGCCCTCTATCGGACCACTCATGATACAGGAACAAAGTACAAGACGAATCTACAACTCCATACCTAGTCTTCCTCGAGGTCCTGTAGTAAAATGTAAGGTCCAGTCATAGAAGACGAGCAAAAAAGTATTTAGTTAGCTCACAGACATTTTGCCGACACCCTTCAGAGGTGGACAAGCGGGATATAACAAGGAGACCCAGCA